GAGATTTAGGCTTGAGTTTGCCCATGAGTCACTGAGCCACTGTAGTTGGGCCTGAAGTCAGAGGTGCTCACCAGGGTGTTGCTGAAGCTCTTCCCAAGTGTGGCTAGCAATCCACACTGAAAAGCTAGGCCTTTCAAGAAGCTAGTAGCTTGTGGCTGGTCCTGGAGTCAAGAGTGCTTGCTGGTGAAGGTTGTTGCTGAAATCCCTGATTTGGGCAAGGCCCTGGAAGGCCAAGATTGGGGCACAGGTCTGCTAGGGGTTGCTGGTGGCTGTGTGTGAGTGGAATGTACTTCCAGATGTTGCTAAAAGTCTGTGTTGAAAAGCTGTGTTCTGCAAGAACTGGATTGGGGTTTGCATTTCACCATTTTTGCTTAATAAGCCAGTTGTATAGCAACATAAAAGCCTTGTCTGTGATCACATTGAGATATTATTATGGAATTGCCACAGGTAAAGATGATTGACAGTCAGCATCCTCTGGCCCAATTCTATTTATTTCAGTCCGAAAATTCCCAATTGGTTCTTCTTTATATCCTGTTTGCTAAGACTTCTATTTATTCTGTGAATCTTCACATTTTTTCCATTTGTTTCAAACATATTATTTCCTGATGAATCACTTTTTCTCTTTTTTATTGTTTCATTTAGAACATTTTTATTAATGTCACATTATAGCATTGTATAAATTTCAAGTATTCACATTTGAGAATCCACATGCCTATCTACTAAATTAAATTTTCATCTAAAAGCCCAACAATCTCTTTCTAGGACATTGCTCTCATTTTCCTGATTTATCCATCCCATTCCCCCATTCTACCACATGTGAGTGAAACCTATAGTGTTTGTCTTTATCTGGCTTATTTCAGTAAGCTAATTTATTCTATGTCCGTACATACTGTTTTATTTTTTTTTAATCTTAAATTTTATTTTTATATTCCCCCATACAATTGCAAACACCCCATTCTGACCCCAATCCTTCCCTCCCCCCCCCCCACCCCCAAAAAGTGTCTCTGGTTCATAGTTTTTTGTTGATTTTGATTTTCACTTTCTTATATTCATTTTCCTGGTCCCTTATTTAAGTTTTCTAGATTCCTGCTATGAGTGAGACCATCCGGTATTTTTCTTTTTCTTTCCGGCTTATTTCGCTGAGCATGATCCCTTCCAGCGCCATCCATGTTGCTGCAAATTGCATGTGTTTATCTTTTTTGAATGCTGAGTAATATTCCATGGTATATATGTACCACATCTTCTTGATCCAGTCATCTACTTTTGTGCATTTGGGTTGTTTCCAAAGCTTAGCTATTGTAAACAGTGCTGCTATAAACATAGGGGTGCAGGTGCTCTTTGGAATTGATGTTTCTGTGTCCTTTGGGTAAATACCTAGGAGTGGAATTGCTGGATCATATGGAAGCTCTATGTTTAGTAGGTCCAGAAATCTCCACACAGCTCTCCATAGTGGTTGGACCAGTTTGCACTCCCACCAACAGTGCAGAAGAGTTCCTTTTTCTCCACACCCTCGCCAACATTTGTTGTTGCTAGTTTTTTTAATATGTGCCATTCTCACTGGTGTGAGATGGTATCTCATGGTAGTTTTGATTTGCATTTCCCTGATTACAAGTGATGTTGAACATTTTTCATATATCTGTTGGCCATTTGCATTTCCTCTTCAGAGAAGTTTCTTTTTAGCTCTTCTGCCCATTTTTTGACTGGATTATTTTCTTTGTTGTTGCTGAGTCTCATCAGCTCTTTGCAGATTTTTGTGATCAGTCCTTTATCATTAGTGTTGGGTGCAAAAATGTTCTCCCAGTTGGTGGGGTTTCTCTTCGTTTTTGTTATTGTCTCTTTTGCTGTGCAGAAGCTCTTTAATTTGATGTAGTCCCAGCTGTTTATCTTTGTCTTCACTATCACTGCTTTGGGTGATGTGTCTGTAAAGATGTCTTTGATGTGCAAATCCCGTAGTGTTTCGCCTATATTTCCTTCTATGTATTTTATGGTTTCAGGTCTTATGTCTAGTTCTTTAATCCATTTTGTGTTGATTTTTTTGTATGGTGTGAGGTAGTGGTCAAGCTTCATTCTTTTGCATGTAGCGACCCAGTTTTCCCAGCACCATTTATTGAACAAACTTTCTTTGCTCCAATGCATAGTCGTACATACTGTTTTAAATGGCAGGACTTCATTGTCCTCATAGTTGAATGGTATTACATTGTGTATATAAACAGATATTCTTTGTCCACTCAAAGATCAATATTCACTTAGGTTTTATCCAGTTCTTGGCTACTCTAAATAATATTTCCATAAATAAATAGTTGCATATCTCTTCAAATTAGTGTTTTTGTACATTTTTTGTAAATGCCCACAAGTGAGATAACTGGAGCATAGGAAATTTCGAAGTTGTGAGGTATCTGCATACTACCTTCCATAATAGTTGCATTAATATACATTTCCACTAAAAGTGTAAAAAATGTCCCTTCCTTTCTACATCCTCTTTAAGCACAACGTTGATAAAATTTTCTCTGGTCAATTTGATGTGGGCTACTCTCACAGGTATGAGATGGTATCTCATTATTTGTATTTTTCTAATAACTGATGGTGAATATTTTTTCATGTGACTTTTGCAATCTTAATGCATATTTGGAGAAGAGCCTATTTCATTTTTTGCCATTTTTTTGATTGGGTTATATGCTTTATTTTAGTACTGTTTTTTAGATTCTTTGCATGTCTGTAATATCAGTCTTTTGTCAAATATATAGTGTGCAAATATTTTTCTCTCAGTAGCGTCTTTTAGTTTTAATTATAGTTTATTGTCTATGCAGGAGATTTTAAGTTTGATGTAGTTCCAGATGTTTATATTATTTTCTTTGCTTTTGAGGAAAAATCCCTAAAGGCATCACTGAAGCTGATGTCATGAGAAGTTTTGCTTGTTTTCTTCTGCGTATACTCTGCTTTCAGGTTTTACATCCATGTCATTTATCCATTTTGAATTTTTTTTTTTTGGCATGGTATGAGATCTTGAGCTATTTTCATTCTTTTGCATGCAGCTGTCCAGTTTTCCCAACACCATTAATGAAGGGGTTATCCTTGTTCCAGCATATGTTCTTGGATCTTTTTTCATAGATTAATTGTCCACATAGGTGTGGGTTTATTTCTGTACTCTCAATCCTGTTCCATTAGTTCATATGTCTGTTTTCACTCCAGTACCATGTTGTTTTAATTATTATGTATTCATAATAAAATTTGAGATATGGAAAGTATTAGCTCAATCGTTTTTTTGTTGGGATTGAGTTTTATGTTCAGGATCTTTTATGATTCCATATGAGTTATAGTAGTGTTGAAACAGGGACAGTGGAGGCAGGAGGGTGGGATATCAGGATAGGCCAGAATTGCCAATTACTTCCCTATTACAGGCTCTAAGACAAGAGAGTGTCAAAAAACCCCAAAAGGCCAAAAATCAAAACCAAGCACTATAGCAATATAATGCCCACACAATAGGGGTCTATGGGTTATAAATGATCAAAGGACAATTCTTAATAGGACAGGCCACAATCTGTGGGTTCTCACAGATGTACCTCATTGCAAAAGACCTCAGGCTCCAGGAACAACAATCCAAGGTTTCATTTTACAAACAAGGGAAACACATAGCTTACTATAGCCACAAGTAGCTGGCTGCCTCACCCAGATAGTGTCCACATGCATTACAAGCAAAGTACCAGTGCCCTGTAACCAAGTGTCGAACAGCACTGGCCAATTGTGATGGTCACTAATGGTCCCCTAGAGGCAGTGTCAGAGACACCAAGTGTTAGCAGCTCTTTGTGAGTTGTTGGGCTACACCAACAACAGACAGCTCTTTGAGACACCAGGCCCAGATCCTTTTGTGCTCCCTTCAGACAATGTCAGAGACAGGACCAGGGGCCCCAATCTGACAGAGGTCTTCAGCTTCTCATCCTCCATTGAGGGTCAGCTGCTGGATGATTCTTTTCTTTCATTCAGCTTCCAGTCCTTCTACTCACCTCTTCCTCAGAGGCCAGAGGCCAGGAATGGAGTCTTTCCCTTCTTTCTTTGGAGGCTGGAACAGTCTGTCTTTTTTTTTTTTCAGTTCCCTTTTATCCCGGCTTATATCCTCTTTCAGGGTGTCACATAAACACGTCTGCTTGGACCATTTTTTCAATCCTGTAGCTGATTGGACTATTCAGCACCAGTCAGCTCATAGCTCAGACCTTTACTTCATCCAGAAAGTAAAAGAACAGTTGCTGGGCTCTGAGAAGCAAGTGCCACAACTGACTTGTGGTGCAGCAGCAGACTGAGAGAACTCCACTGCTGCTGCCAGCTCCCAGAGCTGAGGCGGCTGGGTTCTGATAACAGTGTTTGCTAATGGTGCTTTGAAAATTGACAATGATAGGGGCCTCCGTGATGGCACAGGCTGTTGAGCACAGCACTGTGAAGCTGTCCACAGCCTCTGCAGTGATGGTTCAATCCCCGCTGGCCTCGGAGCAACCCACATGGCAAGCAGACCTCTCCTGTCTCGCCCACTGTTCCCCTCAGCAGTGTATTTCAATCAGTCTGCCTGTTCTGTTCACTGCTCTGCCTCTGGTGAATCCTCTTCCCTCCCGTGCATCTGGCCTGTACCCCGGCTCTTGTATAAATAAAAATAAATCTTAAAGAAAATTGCCAATGATATTTCAAATGGGATTTCATTGAATCTGTATATTGCTTTCAGTACAATGGACATTTGAACAAATGTTGATTTTTTTTTTCCCAATCCATGAGCAGGGAATATTTTTTTTCCATATTTATTGATGAGTTTTTATTTTCTTGATATATTTTTCCCATAATCATTGTAAAGAGTCCCTTACTGTCTTTGTTACTTTTTTTAACTGGAAACCTATTTTTTCTGATAAAAGTATGACTTTCCCTGCCTTCTTTTTAAGTCCCATTCACTTTTAAGATTGTTTCCAAACTGTTTACTTTTAGCCTATGTTTGTCTTTTGATTTTAAGTGTGTCTCCTGGAGACAGCAGAATGTTGGATTCTGTTTCCTCATCCAACTGGATACTGTCTTTTAATTGGTGAGTTCAGTTCATTTACTTTTAAAGTGATTATCAATATTTGATAGTCTATTGATGCAAATTTATTATTAATTTAGTGGGTCATTCTATTTTCTTAGTTTTTTGTGTTCTTCTCTTCAGTTTAGATGTTAGGTTCTCTCCATATTTCTTGCATATTCAATTATACTTATTTATATATCCACTTGTTCTACTTCTGTGATATTCTCCTGAATTTTTCTTTTTTTTAATAAGTGGGGTACAGCCTAGAGTCATGGGGGGTGAGAAGATTCACCAGAGAGAGCGGGGAGCAGAACAACCATATGTACCAAAACACACTGCTGAGGGGAGCAGCGGGCGAGACAGGAGAGGTCTGCTGTGCCATGTGGGTTGCTCCTGGCCACCAGGGGATCGAACTTAGGCTGCAAAGGCTGAGGGCAGCTTCACAGTAATGTGCTCAACCCCCTGCACCACTGGAGAGGCCCTCTCCTGAGTTTTTCATCTCCTATATTTCACTTTTAAATCATTAAACTCCATTTTTTATCTTATTTACATATTCATTGTCTGCCTTCATTGATTTTATTTCTAAGGACAATCATTTGTTTTTCTAAGTTATCATGGTGTTCTTCCATTTTTAATTAAAAAAAGTCATCATTGCAATTTTAAACTCTGTATCTGATAGAACAACATATCTTCCATGTCTTTGAGACTGAGTTTGAAAGTTTATTTTCTCTGTATTGAACTAGTCCTTTGAGGACTCATGTTGCCATTTGTTTGGGTTTTTCTTCTCTCCATTATTAGTTTTGGAATGCAGCAATTGTGTATTGGGATTCCTCTGGGCATGGCGCCTCCCCACTCGCTCGTCTCACCTGTCTTGGCAAGCAGTTGTTGAGATCTCAGCGAATGTCTTGAGGCCTCTAGCTGATCTGAGTGGATGCTGGCAGGATCTCATGGGAAGTCAAAAGGATCTGGTCATTCTGGCACCTTCCCTGGTCTGGGTTCAGGGTTTTTACTGGTCTGGGCAGGTGCCAGCAATGTCTCCTTTGAGGTCACAATGCCTCTGGCCAATCACTCTAGTTACATTTTTTTTTTTTTTTTTATGTTTTTTTAAAATTTTTTTATTTTTATATTCCCCATACAATTGCAACCCCCTGATTTTGACCCCAATCCCTCCTTCCCCCCCCCAAGTGTATATATATTATTTTTTTTTTTAAATATTAAATTTTATTTTTATATTCCCCCATACAATTGCAAACGCCCCATTCTGACCCCAATCCTTCCCCTCCCGCCCCCCACCCCCCAAAAAGAGTCTCTGGTTCATAGTTTTTTGTTGATTTTGATTTTCACTTTCTTATATTCATTTTCCTGGTCCCTTATTTAAGTTTTCTAGATTCCTGCTATGAGTGAGACCATCCGGTATTTTTCTTTTTCTTTTTGGCTTATTTCGCTGAGCATGATCCCTTCCAGTGCCATCCATGTTGCTGCAAATTGCATGTGTTTATCTTTTTTGAATGCTGAGTAATATTCCATGGTATATATGTACCACATCTTCTTGATCCAGTCATCTATTTTTGGGCATTTGGGTTGTTTCCAAAGCTTAGCTATTGTAAACAGTGCTGCTATAAACATAGGAGTGCAGGTGCTCTTTGGAATTGATGTTTCTGTGTCCTTTGGGTAAATACCTAGGAGTGGAATTGCTGGATCATATGGAAGCTCTATGTTTAGTAGGTCCAGAAATCTCCACACAGCTCTCCATAGTGGTTGGACCAGTTTGCACTCCCACCAACAGTGCAGAAGAGTAGAGAACCCCAAAATCTCCACAGAAAAACTAATTCAACTCATCAATCAATTCAGTAAAGTGGCAGGATACAAAATCAACACGCAAAAGTCAGTAGCCTTCCTATACACAAACAATAAATCTGAAGAAGAAGAAATCAAAAAACCACCCCTTTTTTTATCGAAACAAAAAAAATCAAATATTTGGGAATAAATCTAACAAAAGAGGTAAAGGACCTATACAAAGAAAACTATAAAACACTGTTAAAAGAAATAGAAGAAGACACAAAGAAATGGAAAGACATCGCCTGCTCATGGATTGGAAGAATAAACATTATTAAAATGGCCATCCTACCAAAAGCAATATACAGATTCAATGCTATTCCAATCAAAATCTCAATGGCATTCTTCAAAGAAATAGAACAATTATTGATGAAATTCATATGGAATCACCAAAAACCCCGAATAGCCAAAGCTCTACTGAAAAAAAAAGAAGGAAATGGAGGCATCACACTCCCAGACTTCAAACTCTACTACAAAGCCATAATCATCAAAACTGCATGGTATTGGAACAAGAACAGACATACAGACCAATGGAATCGAATAGAAAATCCAGAAATAAACCCACAGATTTATGGTCAACTAATCTTTGACAAAGGAGCAAAGACTATGCATTGGAGCAAAGAAAGTTTGTTCAATAAATGGTGCTGGGAAAACTGGGTCGCTACATGCAAAAGAATGAAGCTTGACCACTACCTCACACCATACACAAAAATCAACTCAAAATGGATTAAAGAACTAGACATAAGACCTGAAACCATAAAATACATAGAAGGAAATATAGGCGAAACACTACGGGATTTGCACATCAAAGACATCTTTACAGACACATCACCCAAAGCAGTGATAGTGAAGAGAAAGATAAACAGCTGGGACTACATCAAATTAAAGAGCTTCTGCACAAAAAAAGAGACAATAACAAAAACAAAGAGAAACCCCACCAACTGGGAGAACATTTTTGCACCCAACACTAATGATAAAGGACTGATCACAAAAATCTGCAAAGAGCTGATGAGACTCAGCAACAACAAAGAAAATAATCCAGTCAAAAAATGGGCAGAAGAGCTAAAAAGAAACTTCTCTGAAGAGGAAATGCAAATGGCCAACAGACATATGACAAAATGTTCAACATCACTTGCAATCAGGGAAATGCAAATCAAAACTACCATGAGATACCATCTCACACCAGTGAGAATGGCACATATTAAAAAAACTAGCAACAACAAATGTTGGCGAGGATGTGGAGAAATAGTTACATTTTTTTTAACCCAACTCTTTTTTGTCTTACATAACTATGGTTGTCCCTATCCCCCTTTGGTTACCATTCTTTTGTAGGATTATTTTCCTATCTTTTACCTTCAGTCTATGTTTATATTTGACCTAAGGTGCATGTCCTGAAGACAACAGACATTTAGATTCTTTTCTAACCCAACTAGAAATTCTGTCTTTTTAAATTGGTGAGTTTAATTTTAAAAGATTTATTTTTATTTATGCATACAAGAGCTGGGGTGCAGGCCAAAGCTATGGGGGTTAATAAGATTCACCAGAGATAGAGTGGAGAGTAGAACAGGAGGATCTACTGAAATATACTGCTGAGTGGAGCGTGGGTGAGACAGGAGAGGTCTGCATCATATGGGTCCCTCCCTGGCTGGTTGGGGATAGAACGTGTGCTGCAGTGGCTGGCAATAGCTTGATAGCACTGTCTTTAACCCCTGTGCCATCAGGGAGGCCCTTAATTGGTGAGTTTTATCCATTTACATTTAGGGTGGTTATTGATCTGTTTCTGCCACTTTGTCCTTAATCTTGTAGTTTTATTTATTTCTTTAAGTTCTTTGTAGTATTCCTCAATTTGGCTGAGGTACTTGAACTTTTAATATTTCCTGGAGTGTTCCCACATCTTCCAGAATTTTGTAAAATTTGAGGATAGGTATTATTGAATGTTTGGTAGAGTTTACTGATGTAATCATATGATCTTGATCTATTATTGGAATAATTGGAATTATGATTTTATTTGCTTTAGTTCCAGTTCATCAAGCTATGTATTTAGCCATGCTTTAATCTTTGAAGATTATATGATTCTAAAGTTTGTCCACTTCTTGTAGGCTGTCCAATCTGTTTGCATAGCAGTCTTTATGAGCCTTTATATTACTGCATTATTTATTGCAAGTTTATCTCTTTTGTTTCTGAGTCCTTTATTAGGATTTTCTCACTTTTGTTAATAGTAGCCTAGTTAAGGATTTGTACTAATTATTCTTCCAAAGAACCTGCACTTTTTTTCACTGACCTATTGTATTGTCTTTTAAAAAAAATATTTCTTCACCAGTTGATATTATTCCCTTCCTTCAACTGATTTTTGGTTTTGATTATTATTTTTTTTAGTTCTGTCAAATTTAAGGTTAGATAGTTTATTTGGAACTTTTCTTTTTTTTCTTTTTTTTTTAAGATTTATTTATTTATGCATATAAGAACTGGGGTACAGGCCAGAGTTGGGGAGGTGAGAGGATTCACCAGAGACAGAGTGGGGAACAGAACAGGCAGATTGACTGAAATGCACTGCTGAGGAGAGAAGTGGGTGAGTCAGAAGCGGTCTGCTATGCCATGTGGGTATCTCCCTGACCAGGGATGGAACTTGTGCTGCAGTGGCTGCAGATAGTTTCATAGGTTGCGTCTTAACCCCTTGTGCCACCAGGGAGACCCACTTTTCTTTTTTATTAATGTGTGTCTGTACTTCTGTAAACGTCTCATCTATAACACCTGTTTTATTATTTTTAATGCATTTTTTATTTTTAAATTTTATTTTGTAACCTTTTTATTAAGGCAACATCGTTTTATAACATTGTACATTATTTGGGAGATTATGTTGATACCTCTTCAGATATTACCACTCCATACCCATCAGCAAAGTACCCATAATCCTCAAGTATAGACTATTGGGTGTCCTCTCGCTTTAATCTTCTTCCCACCCTAAACCTCCCCTTCTAGTAGCCACCATTCTGTGGTAATAGTTCTGTGATGTTTTGGTTTAGGTTTTCATTTTTCTGTTACATTGTTTTCTTTCTTTACAGTCCATACATGAGTGAAACAATATACAATATTTACCTTTCTCCTTCTGACCTATTTTCACTTTGCATAATCCCCTCCATTTCCATCCATTTTGTCACAAATGGCAGTATTTCATCTTTTATAGC